ATTTAAATAGATGATTTTAATTGATTAATTAATTAATTTAAAATCAATCTTTATAATTTTTTATATAAATTAATTAAAAAATTACATATATTTTACATAAAAGGTTTAGAAATATGATAATAACATTTTGACACCCACCATACTCGAACACGCGTTTCCTCCACGATGGAGGAAGTGACAAACCAATCGAGCCACCATATCTGTCATGTTAGCTCGTTACATCATATTATATTTATTCATATGTAATTCAACTGGCGGTTTAAACAATTTAATCAATTAAATCGGTCAAATCGAGAACCAAAGGTCAAAACGGTTTGACCTCTAGGTCGGTTTTCAAAACATTGCTTGTGTGTTATCTTGAAGGGTGTGATTATTTTTTCAAGAGTGATTTGTAAAGAGGATTGTTGGGGTTTATCTTGTAAAGGGGTGAGATTTGAGAGAAATACCATTTTTTTTTGTAAAAAGATTGAATGACTTCTTTGAGCCACCCTTATTTTTTCTTAGTGGAGAGTGTGGAGGAAATCCTTGGTGAATGAAGCCAAGGTAGAGAACTAGGCTCCAAGTGGTTGGATCGAACTTCTATAAAATTATTGTGCAAACTTTTATTCCTTACTCTCTCTTTAATTTTTGTTTGGTAGTTGCAAAGTGGTGAAAATTTTTTTAACTCCAATTCACCCTCCTCGGAGTGCATTGAGCCAACACAAAGTGCTATACAAATTGTTCACAATGATGAATTTCATGAATACATAAAGCATATTAAGATTGATTGTCACTTTATTCATCATCATGTTGCAAAGGAAACTGTTCATTTGATTTTCACTGGTTCTGTTGATCAACTTGCAGATTCGTTCACCAAGGCTTACTTTTGTGGATGTTTCCAATCTCTTTTTTCCAAACTCAATTTGGTGTCCTAACTACCACCTTAAGGTTGCGAGGATGTTAGAATATTAGCATTCATACTATATTAGTATGTTCACATTAGCATTTATGTTAGAATATTAGTCTTCACACTAGATTAATATGTTCCAATTGTAATTGATTGTATACATCTAAGTTAATTGGTTTTGTATCAAAGAATATTCTATTGTATAGATCTACATATATGTGCTTTGTATATACAATGAAAATAAAATAAAAAAAATAATTAATAAACCTTTCTTAAAAAAACAAATCTATTATGTATAACAATATATCAATGATTATGTCACCCTAGTTTTGGTGTTGCATGGCTAGATATGGTTGATGAATGGTGATGATTTCCTTTGGTTTCATATCATATATATACACACTTCGCTATAGGTTATTAAACTCCACCCAAAACTTATATGAAAAGTATCTGTCCTATAATCACTTAAAGAATGAAATTAGCATATATATATAGAGTACGTACCATGATGCCATGCAAAGTTTTAGGGAACAAGTAAAAACGAATCCCAAGCACAGACCAACTGCTAAACCTTAGACAAAATGCCCTTTTCACTTCCTACATAATGTTGATGTGTGGCGAGAAAAAAAAAAATTCCAACTTTCATATAAATTTCATATAAAGGACAGGACAAGAGAGGACGTGTGTCGAGAAAAATCAAACATGCTTCATTTGTTTGCAATATCGCGAACGATGCCCATATCTGCTATCTGCTACTACTATATTATCAAGCTAAATCTATTTCCTAGTTAACAACAACAAATTGATAACTTTCCACCTCAAACATCACCCTTGAGCTCCAAAATTCTAATGCCAGTCTGTCACCAATAAATTGATATATATATATATACACGGAATTAGTCTCAATTTTTAAAAATAATTAGAATTTCAATTTTAAATTACATTATTCTATTTAATTAAAATTTCATTCAAAATTTAAAAAATTATTTTATTAAATGTTGATATATTAAAATATATAATGTATTTCTAAATTTAAATATTAACATTTAATAAGATGAGATTTTAATTTTTAGATGTAAGTTGAGATTCTAATTGTTTTTAGAAATAAAGATTGATACACACTAATTATATATATATATATATATATCAAC